GTGTGTGTGTGTGTGTGCCCACCTCCTGCAGTGTCCGTCTCAGCCTTAAAAGCAGGGTTTTGACAGCAGTACAGTCCTGCTGCATCAGTCTGAGAGGAAGAGTCTCAAGCCCTGGAGGCAGGGGCTCATCTTCCCTCCCCAAACCCAGCCCAGAGCTCCAGTCGGCAGGCAGCAGGCTAGTTGGACGGCTGAGCTCCCTGGAGGAGAGGTAGAGTGAAGGGAAGGGAGAGCAATAAAGAGATTTCATGTTAGCATGAGTCAGTGTGAAAAGTTGATCATTGACCTGTCTTAACTGCTCCCCATTGGTCTCCACAGGCAGCCAGTGGAATCTTTCTTTGCCATTGGTTGTTACTGAAGATGTAGACAATATATCACACCATAATGTCAAGATGTTGCTTCTGAATTAGTGCTGGGCCAAAACATTTGTATGATGGTATTTTTTAAGTTTTTTATTTGCATGATTTGGCCTTCATATAGGTTTAAATTTGGCTCATTCCACTGCCAGGAGCACATAGAATATAAAAACATTTCAGTGGCATTGTGAATATACTGAAGGCTTTAATTAGCATAGGAGTTTTCTTGGCCACAGAAAATGATACAATATATGAAGAATGAATGAAAGAGTTGCATTTTTATTGTGCAAACAGAAACGTAGTAAAAATATGACTTAAAAGTAAAAAAGATAAACCAACATCTTTAATACTGCTTCCTTTCCAAATAAAATATTTTAAAATAGTTGTAAACTATAAACGGACATAAAATACTCAAAGTATTTAAGTATTGAAGTGTTTTATATTTTCTATTGCATAAGTTAGGTACACATGGGTGTGCCATTGTGTTTTGTCTATTAAAGAGAGTTAGTTGTGGGTTGATAATTGTTGTGCTATAAAGTTATAACTGATGGTAAGAAGGGTACGCAGAAGGGCTCCCCTCTTAATATATGCTACACAGCTGGCCCCGACCACAGCACTCTTTACATCATAATCAATATAGTTGCTCATTGAGAGTTAAGAGTTACAGAAGCTGTTTCAGCTAGGCTGCATATTAAAAATTCATATCATACTGGAAATTAAAACGGATATACCGGTTCATCTGGCATATCGCCCAGCCCTATTCTAAACATTCCAATAGTTCCCAGAATACTGTATGATATCACGTGTGACTAACAAAAAAACATGGTCTGAATAATAATTGGTCAGCATGCGGAACAATTCCAATTAGACGTAACACAGTTAACAATATCTTCTTCTACAGGCTTTAAACAAAATCTACACAGGGTAAAAAAGGTTGCATAGAGACCAAGAAATGCAACGTTCAGAGTGCATAGCAGCTGCTCCACAGAAGTCCCTGAGGACTCAATTTTAATGAGCACTCATTTCTGTAATAAGTCTGTTTTAAGATGATTTAAAACCGACATCAACATGAACGTGGTAAAAGCACATACAAATGCTTGCATGTGTATAGTAGACCCTTGCACACACTAATGCATTCAAAACTTCAAAGACCATCTTCTAATCCTGCCTCTCACAATCATTATCAACTCAAAAGGATACTTCATTATCGAGAGCTTTGATTCATTATAGCCCATCACAGCTGTGTGATCCTGTATATAAAATAATGGAATACAAATGAGAAATATACATTCAAAAAAATTGTAACCCCTGTCCCATTATTGCTTTTAAATGAAGGTAGAGTTGCAGCAGATGTGAGGTCATCGGGTAGTTTGTTCCAGAGAACAACACCATAGTAAACTAATGTACCTGTTTTTGTTTTAATTCTAGGTACATTCAACAGACACATGCTTGATGATCTGAGGGATCTGATTGCGTTACAGCCAGTGAGGACGTTGGAAATGCATACCATTTAGGGCTTTGTAAACAAGCAGTAATACTTCATATTAATTATACACTGTACTGGCAGCCAGTGAAGTGTTTTCAGTACAGGTGCAATGTGTTGTACTTCCCTAGTCCCAGTTAGCATGCAGAATGAGCTGGAGACTCGTGTCCTCCTCCTATTTTTCTAAAGATTCCTTAATGTAGTGTTTTGTATTACTGCATGTCCACAATTACTCTTCTGTAGAAAGAATGTGGTGTATTAAGTTTGTGCATGCAGCTGGTTGTGCAACTGTCAGGCTGTGTGTGTGTGTGCAGGAAACACCTTTTTAATTAACAAGTTTTTTCGATGTTAGACCTCCTGGCCGTTTGACAGATAGAAGAGATGAAATCTCTCCAAGAAAAAAGGCGAGTTCATAAGTCACTGTTAAAGGCCTTATTATTCACAAGCCTCCAAACCAATGTACCTTCCTAGTCCTCTACACAACTGTGACAGATTCGTAGTGATGTGGAGTTGGATTCAGACAAACTTGAACACAATCAACAGGGGGAGATCAACCACGGCACTGTTTTAATTAACTGTCCCATTTGAGAACACAGTCCATTAAACAGTAAACAGGCCTCTGAAGCAGTATGTCTTTGGTCTGTTGTGCATGGCCTCTGTTCTTTATCTCACCTTCAACACCTATTTAGTACAGCAGAGGACAGATACTGGGAGGAACTTTCAACAAGAGTCAGGGTTGATCAATGTCACAGCAGTCTTTATCATTTTTTGCCTTCCAGCCAGCACTAAAGCTCAATCAAAGCACCACAACTACAAACACTGACCTTATCTATAAAAACTATATATTCATAGTCATCCATTGCTCGGAGCCCCCTTTACTTGTTCTGTCAGTTTGAGAGTTCAAGTTTAACCCGAAGGATAATATTTAACTGCTTATGATGTAAGACTACTTTATATTCCACCAGACATGACAACAGTCACAAACGAAGCTCTCCATCTCTTTTGTAGTTTCAACTGTTTCAAAAGAATTATAATGTTTTAATTCAGTCCATAATATCGCGTCTGGCCACTCAAAATGTCAAATACATTAGGAGAATAAATGCAACAGTTGACTTTATGATAGTTTTGTCTTATTATGAATGTATTGCATGGCTGTATGGCTGCTGTTGTGGTTTGTATTTTTTTATATTTACTATTTGATGATTATGAGGTAGTAAAAGATACTTTCTGAAAAGCCATTTTGATTTTCTATGTTCTTCTTTTAGCATTAACATTTACCCGAGGTTAACGGTTGTCAGTGGATACATTTAGCACTCTTTTCACACAACAATAATTATACAGGAAAACTAACTGATCTTGGTCTGTTAATGATTTGATTTGATTGATGATGAGTTTGTGTATACTTTAAGGTGTTATACGTGTGTGTTCTTGATTGAAGAATCTAATAAAGGCAGTGGTAAGAATACAGTGAGAAGAAATAAAAGCATCAATGAGCGGCGTTTGACTGAAAGTATAAATAACCTCCGCACTGACTTATGTAAATGCTGAAAATTGAACATTTAAAAAAGGAACAAGGTCCTTTTCCCCACTGACAACAATTAAAAAGCAATTACAGTCAGGTTTTCAATAAATTAAGATTTAGAGATGACCCTTATTTGGCCCAAAGAGATTTTTCCAAATGTCAAAACCAGGGACACAACAAAGATATGTTAAAGCTTCAAGCTTCAAGGCCAATGTGCTCTAAAAGGGTAAAACTATTAACAATGAATGGATCAAGTTTCTTTTTCAAAAGCACACAATGTCAAAATTTGACTTTAGGTTTTGTCACGTTAATTCTGAGGTGGTTGTGAAGCCTTCCTCCAAGTTCTATAAGCGAGCACTCTAGACGCTCTCTTGCAGAATGATAAAAAGTACAGCACAGAGAGGGAACAAACACATGTATCTTGTGCAATTAGAGCCATTCCTGATGATTAACTTCACTATAGTGACAGAATAATCCTGGTAATGTAATGTAGAACTGTGGCTATGAAAAACTATTTATTTGTTTTTATATATAATTTCAAAAGACTGACAGTTAAAATTACTAGCCATTTCAGGCAGTCAAAGAAAGCTTCCATCAAGAACTGGGAAAGACAACTAAAATTAACCAATAGATTCATCAAATGTGCTTTAATTGAATTCCTGCATTAACATTTCTCTGCCAAGTTGTAATATTTTGACAGAAAGTGCATAAAGGGGAACTGTGTATCTCAACTTCTTTATGACATTTTCAAAAGGTGAGCAGAGAAATACCACCCTCCTGTCTGAAAACCAAAAAGACAACCAGCGAGTTCACCGTCTGCATATCAAGAAAAGGAGGAGAGGGATGGCAGTGAAGAGAGGCAGACGTAGACTCTGAAAGGGGGGGGGGGGGCTCTTTATCATCAAGAAACCGTGTTCACTTTGAGTGATAGCCATTTAGAGGGGAGGTGGGAGGAAATTAGATGCCTTTTGTCCCATTCTCCCGGAAAAAAATCACCAAGTAAACAGTGGCGGGGAGCATTAAGTCAGACAGCAAATTCTGCAGAAAAATGTTATTTGCGCAAAACAAGACCATATCACTAAAATATCGATCAACATAAGCCACTTCAAAGACTTCTCACTGAAAAGGTCGGCCTGAATTGCTCCCTCATTTGCCCTCATACTTTCTTCTTCACTGGTTCACCATCCCTTCGTCTGTCTGTCTGTCTGTCTACCCCCCCGTTCTCACTCTCTTTCTATTCATCAGTCTGATGCAGTATCAAAGCCTAAGGTGTCCCCTTGGGGATTCTGCTTAGCACCTCAGACAAATGTCAATGAAGCCTGCTGTCTTCTGAGGACAGGTGAGCTCCGTCTGTCAAGCAGCCACGGGAGCTTTTCTCCCCCCTTAAACTATATTCTTTCTAGCTTTTGTTCCTCGCTGGCAGCTCAGGTTAGAGTAAACTTTCTCCATTTATTTCTCTGTTGCTCCACCCTGCTATCTAGGCGGGATGAATTGAGCGTAAATAAATGACATATGATCAATCATTCGCCCTTCCCTCTGACAGCTTGTGTCATGTGGTGCAGTTGCAGTGCCACAATAAAGTATTTTTTTCTATCAAAAGTTGTTTTTTGTTTTGTTTTTCTATGTCTCTGTGTTTCTCTGAGCCTGACACTCTTGCCCTTTCTCTAGCTTTCACCAGGGTTTCAAGTTTGGATTCTTCTTTTACCTCTGCGGTGCACATCAAATCCACAGAGCGACAGGAAAATGAGTGGGAGAAGGGTTCAAACAACACTCGCCTCCGCCAAAACAGTAATCATAGAGGTGTCCTTATGCATGGCATTTACTGTTTCAGGAGAAAAGAAGGGTGAAATTTCTACTTACTCTAAGTAACTGAGGGCTGTAAATGTGTTTTACGGTAGGTGACATTTTTTTATTTCACCTTTACAGTCAATTCTTGGTCCTTTGTCACAATGATGTAGTAGAAATGGTGATTTTATTGTGTTGTCGATTTCAA